TATCTATCTATCTATCTATCTATCTATCTATCTATCTATCTATCTATGTATCAATAATCAAAATGTATTAGGGGGGAATCTTCTCTCCACCATCTCCTATAGGAGTAAAGCAGGGAAATGTTGCCTCTATGGAAATGGGGAACTGCTATCAATGTGTAACTGCAGGTTGATAACACTGCCACCAATTGCTGGCTAATAATATCGAGGCGTGTCTCCTTTTGCTTGAGAAAGCACAAATTGGCATCAAAGTCACAGGTGATTCATGCTTTTATGGCTCCTGTCCAGTGATCGCATCAAGGTCCATTCACTGGCGTGGATTCTCTGTTTTTTTAAAAGGAGGGGGGTAGATGACTGAGCGGTGGGTTTGTGCAGTTTTGAGAGTCGGTTGGTGCGGCCCGACTCTCTAACCTGTCGAGATGAGGTGAAATGTTTGTAAAAACACCTCAAAATCGGGAGGAGTTTGTCCTCCTCTGGGTTGCTGCATGTGTGCGTTTTCATGGGTGTTTTCGCATATGCCAGGTTGCGGCACTGACAGTGACACAGGCCAGAGCCCGTGCACACTGAGTGTGTGTTTACAACGATGATTTGGTGTAACTGTGTGGACTTGGTGTGTGTTTGCTGTCTGTGTATATGAATGAGGAGGTGTTGGGTGAGGGACTAGATAGAGATGCTGGCATGTGCTGGACTACAGCAGACTATTGCTGAAGAAGTATTGTGTGTGTGTGTGTGGTTGTGTGTGTGTGTGTGTGTGTGTGGTTGTGTGGGAGAGGACGTGTGCATGTGTGTCTGAACTAGGCACCAGGAAAACTGTCCCCGTCTTGGCTGGGGCAAAGACTCAATCATTTGGGGTCGGTGACTTACTTTGGCCCTTTTTCCTCACACACACACAAACACACACGCTCACACAGGCCTGTAGACTCCTGGCTCCAGGAAGAACACTTCAAATGAGAAGCAGGAAAACCAGAGGGAGGAATGATAGAGGCCACTGAGACACGCACACACGCAGTCGTCACTCACTTGTACTCTTGGGTATTCCTCTCTGGCAGTTGGCTCTGCAACCTAAGCGGAAAATCGCCTTTTTTTTGTGCTGCTAAAGGCCTTTCATCTCCGGTGCGTTGGTTCCTGTTGATGTCACCTGTTTGTCTTGCTGTTATCAGATCAGACTGATGTTCACTCATGTGACGATGATAACGGCGAAACAGTAAGGATCAATACTGACTTAAAAAGGCCCATAAAGACCTCAGATTTTTATCTGATAGCCTTCAAATGGTTTTATGTACTCATTAATGGATCCAATGTAACAACTGTGTAACAGTTCACCTTTCACGTGTAAATGCATTATTTTTACAGCTGTGTGCTCTGATCACATGAACATAAAGCACGATTTCATTTCTTGTACTAAAAGAGTGATTCTCTCTTATAGAAAGCTTTTTTATGGTCAGCTATTGCTTTCAAATGAGAATTCTTTGCACTGTTTTTGGCACATTATTGTTCATTTGACTTCTGTGAAAGTTGTATTTTTCTCTCAGCTCCTCGTTTTAAACCTCTCCCCTGAATCTCATTTTTAAAAATATGTGGTTTATATTGTTGAAAAAGAAAAGCAGTAAAATCTGTAAAAATGCTGCTTCTAGTAGGGTTTATTACTTTCTGCAGTCTGCGTGAGATGTGCCAAATGGAATGCTTTGCAAATTATTGTGATTTCATTTAATTGACATTTTTTCTATTTTGTGAAAAACCTGTTTAAAGAGAAGCCCTGATTGAAGCCATCTTAATTCAGTATTATTATGTGCATAGGGTCATCAGCATAACTGGGTGTTTGCAGAAAAATTGTGTTTTTTTATTGATGGCAAATGCAATGTCATTTTAAAAAACTCTGGGAATCTGAATAAATATTCGTACACGACAGAGAACATCAAAAACTGTTGTTCTGGAATCTTTTAACCTTTATGCTGATAAAATGCTTTGAAAAGAATTAAAATTTTGTGGTGAGTCGTCTTTTCATAAACATAACATAAATAAACCAGAGCCACCAACGAATGATGTCACCATCTCTGTGCTGGAGCTTGTTCAGGAAGGATGAGATGCGGTCAAAAACTTTCAGGTCATTGGTGATGTCATTAAAAGGCAAAGGTCAATGCTCAAAGGGGAATTCATCAGCAAATACTGTATATCCCCTAAGAAGATGTAACCAAGACTAAATATTTGAGTTTAGCAGGAAAATTGTTCAGGATTTTTAATGATCCTGAAATAATTTTCCTGCTTCAGATGTTTAATGTAGAGTTAAATGTAGCTCGGGGAAAATGTCATTTTGTTCAGTGTACACACGTTAGATTGTTGTATCTGTGGAACTGTCCTGTGAGAATCAGATGATAATTTAGCACTTATTTCTGCGGTGGGAAACTGACCATTATCTAAATTTAAAACAATGGCTGCCACATATAGTCAGCTCAAAAGCCAGAATAAGTTGTGATATGAAAGTTGTTGGTGCTCAATACACGGATAACTGACACAGTTTTTAATTGAAATACTTAGCTTATTTCCAGGACACAATACCACACACAAAGATATCCATTAAATCCATTCCAGAATGAGCAAACATTTCTGAGAAATGGTTTTATTATGTTCACATTCAGCTTGTTATGGAGGGGATGAGGGATTTGGGGAATATCTTTATTTATGGGAGTGTGTGATGATCTAAATGTGGGCCTCCTTCTTTAGTATTTTTGTGTTTGTGCTCATAAGGTCAGAGAGTCACACACACACACACACAAGTTTTCTCAGCAAGATGCCTGGTCATCAGCAACACAATCATCTCTATCTCCGGCTCATACACACACCATTAACCGGGAGTGTGTTTTTGAATAACTTATTAACTCCTCAGTTGCAGGCTCTCATCGGCGACAGGCCCAAGTACTGATTTGGACTCTTGATTCACACAGTTTGAAGAGCAGCGCAAACACAGCCCACAAGACTCAATTACAGATGATAAGAATTCAATTATCAAAACCCCTTTTGTCCTGAAGATTTGGGCTGTTTGGAAAGCTTCTTTACTGACTCACGTAAACAAATGTTCAGTAATTACTTTGATACTTTCGGGCTAATATTTGAAATTCCTCTTCTGGGTGTATCTTTCCGAAATGTATGTTTTAAAGAATAAAGGAATCAATAAACTGTGATGAAGTTTCATGGGTGACTTGTAACAATCAGCCCTTCGTTGTGTGTGGAATAGAACACTGACCAATCGTATTAGATAGCCGTTTGCCCGACAGCCTGATATTACCAGTCTAAAACCTCATACTGGGATGCCCCGTGACACTGAAAGTGTGTATGAGTCTGAGCAATTACAAGTGTATTTTTAGCAGTGGAGACCAAGGGATCCCAGGACCTCTCCCTGTGATAAGCAGTGGCCAAAGTCCGTTGGCTAGCTTAGGCCTGAAGAGCAAATAGGGAGCACA